AAATAAAATATTTATTTTATAAAATATTCTATTTATAAATTTTAATTCAGGGGTTGACGTATAGCAAGAGAATTACTTTAATCAATTTTTATATTAACTTAATATTTAATATATTACTTTAATTAATTAATCATATTAATATTTTAACACAAATGTTTGAACACGCACAAAATTTTATATTAAACTTTGACAAACATGAAAAATAAGGTTAATTAAATACAAATTTAAATGATAAATATTGATATTATATACATTATGGATATTAATAAACGTTATATAAAATAAATTTAAAAAAAAACGTTACATAAAATAAAATTATATTTCAACAATATTAAATGAAATCTATACATTATGAATTATAGTTAAAAAGTTGTATCTTATTTTAATTATAAATTATAAATTTTGTTTAATCTTATTTAAGAATTAGAATCTTACCGTGGAAACTTTGTCCTATCAATAATAATAATAATAATAATAATAAATGAATAATAATAATTATTACTATTATAATAATAATAATTATTATTATTATTATATGTTTACATATTCTATAAAAAAATCAAACAAGGTTTACTTTGTATTATCAAATAAATTTGATTTTCTTTGGCTATTAAAATTTATTTGATTTTATTATAAATAATTTTTGGATTCGCTAAAATATTAATTATAAATATTTAAAACGAGTATAAATAAGATGAAGCTAATTATAAGATATTTAATTTATACCGTTAATACTCTGGTACTTCATTTATGATTTTTATTAACACTTTGATTCATCTGTTTTGAGTGAAGGGATTAAAATGATAATAAAATTATAATTTAAGAACTTCACAGTTGGTTTTTCAAAATAGACATGTATTAATTTGACCGTAATTTAGAGATCAATTTATTATTCTGGCTCAAAAAATAAAACATTAAAAATAAATTTAGAAATTAATTTATTATTAATTATTTATAATAATTATCTAAATTTAATTTTGAAAATAAATGATATGTAATTATAAATATATTTTTTATAATAATAAAATTTATTACATATTAAAGCATAACATAAAATTTAAAATAAAAATATTTAATTAAGTTATTTAAATATTTTTATTATTTTTTAAAAATAAATATCATAATTTTAATTATGAAAATCATAGAAAATATGACTTTTATTATAAAGAAAAAATTGAAAAATAATTTAAATTAGTTTTTGCAAAATTTTAGTTAAATTCTAAAAAATTAAACCATTTTTCTATAAGTGAACAGTCCTTAAATATTTATTTTATGTATTGATAAGCTAACAATTGTGAAAATAGACTAGTCAAATATGTAGAATCAGTTCCATTGGTTATTCGGAGTTTAGATGATTGTTGGTACCATATGAATGAATTGATTAGCCATGATATTATGGGATCCTATTCTAAATTTTGTTTCAAGTTTGTTTTCTTTTCACGTATACAGAAAATAAAATCATTAACTTTTATGTAATAGAAAACAATGAAATAAATTTTGTGCTAAAATTTCTATCATACTTTAATAATTATAGCAAAAATGATTCGAAAGCGACCGCATAGCGCAGTGGATTAGCGCGTTTGACTTCGGATCAAAAGGTCGTGGGTTCGACTCCCACTGTGGTCGATTTTTTAGATTTTGGGTCTAACCACTTTTCCTGAAAAGGAAAAAATTGCAATAAATAAAAGTAAATAGTAGACCTTGATTTAAAATTACTCATACTCACAATAAATAAGTTTAGTTTTTTTTAATTCAATTAATTACTTAATTTGTTTAATTTCGATGTTATTGATTTAATTTTGAATCCAACATTACTTCAGTCTTTTTAAACTTAATATATTTAAATATTTGAATGAGTAGATGTGAATTCTATGATTAATTGAATATTAAATCAAACTAATTGATAATGCTTGAATTGTTAGATCAAAATTTGTCAATCTATTTATAATGATTAATTGAATAACCACATTGCATGAATCCATTTGTAAGGAATAATGAAATGGTAAGAATTCCAAATTCTAAACCAACACTTACCAAAACTCATCATAAACAATAACTTTATTATCAGTGTTTATTTCAAATCCACTTATAACTATGCCTCGCAATAAACAAATGGGCCACCAACAAAATATAGGAGGAGCTGCCATCCCCAAGCTTGATCTAGCTCAACGGTGGATTTGATCAGGTGGAGAATTTCTCGGGCCCCTTTAGAAGTCTCCCACCTAATTTGTGACACTGAGGAGCTTATGCCAAGTTTTTTAGGTCACTGTTCGTTTCGACAGCACTGAAAGGCGAGAAGCTTAGTGCCAAGTTTTTTTTAAGGGTCACCTTGTGCCGATTTTGTTTTATTTTATTTTAATGTGTTTTTGTTTTTTCGTTTTTTTTTTTCCGTCTTATATAATTTTTTTTTTTTTTAATAAAAAAGCTAAAATAGCCATTTTTTTTTTTTCTTTTTTTTTTTTTTATAAAAAAGCTAAATAGCCAACTAATGGCATGTGGCAATAAGAGCCATCCCTTCCCCTCAAAGCGTGTCCAGACCACTGTCAGACTTCTGCGAACCCACTGAGGCTGCGAGGCACCACCACATGGACCCCTCAAAATAAGGTTCTGAAAAAAATATTTTCTGGGCTCCACTTCAAACTCTATTGTCCTACTTCTGCGAACCGACATCAAATTTTAGATAATTATTTTTATTTTAAGTTGCCGAAAATTAAAATGATTTTCTTTCTTTAAAAAATAATAAAAAATTCAAATTTGTAATTTATAATTAAGCATGCGTTAATCTAAACAACACTTTTGACGCATTATGTATTTTTGATCAAAATATATCACTTTCTCCCTATTTTTTTAAAATACAATAATTTTCTCTATATTTTACATTTGTGATACCATCTTATCTTTCCTTGATACTTTTTCTGTCAAATATTTATAATATTACTTTAAAAATTTAATTATTTTGTTCTTATATTTTCTCAAAATTAACTTGTTTATCTCTGTATTTTTTAATAGTTGACAGAACGATGAAGTAGTATAACAAAAGTATAGATATTTGTATTTTACGATGACAAACTATTTTATTTTTACAAAATATAAAGATAAAATAATAATTTTTCTTTAAGAAATTAAGTAATATTTAAATTTGTAACCGTCTCCATTATGAGACAAACATTTATACAATTAAGTTATTATTTTAATATGTTTTACTTAGACCCTTAATGACAGAATTCAACTTTTAGGTATGCTAAGACAAAGTCCAAGCTCACCTCTTATTGGTTTTTGACATTAAAAATTAAAATAAGAAATTAATTAGCCAAATGGTCCCTTTGCCTAGTTGTTGCTCTCTTTTTTTTTTTTTTTGCTTTCGTCTTATTTTATTTTTTTGTTTTCTTTTTCTTTTATTTTTAAAGCATTCAGAATGTTAAATAAGTCATTGAGCATAAGTCTCTTCGCGAGAAAAGAAAACATAACTTGCGTGGGAATTATTGTTAATGATAACATCAAACCCATTAAAAATGGGTGAGGTCTATTGAATCCTTTGCTCAAGATAAGGAAGCAACCAGAAAAAAAGTTCTCAGTGGTTAGCTCACGTATTTTGCATTCTTGTGAACACAATACAATTTAACAAAAAAAAAAAAAGAAAAAAAGAATTGGTAAACATAATTATTTTATGTTTAAAACTCATTATTTAGTATAATGAATAATTTTAGATATATCGTTTTACTTGATTTTTTAAATTCTAGATTCAAAAGCTAATTATTCTATAACGAAATAAATCTATGGGAAAAATATAGATACTTATATTTAAATTTTATTTATAATTTTTAGCAGGTTTAAGCATAAATGATGCATCGGAAATATTATTATTTTTCATATTTATTTTGAATGATTATATGCATGAAAAATAGAATATTTAAAAGTAAAAAAAAGAAATTGGTAACATATTATTTTATGTTTAAAACTCATTATTTAGTATAAATATATTTTGATATATGTTTTACTTGATTTTTAAATTCTAGATTCAAAAGCTAATTTCTATCCGAAATAATACTAAAAAAATATAGATACTTATAATTAAATTTTATTTAATTTTTACAGGTTAAGCATAATGATTCAAATATTATTTTTTCATTTATTTTATGATTATATGCATGAAAAAATAGAAATAAAAAGTTAGGCACGTATGGAGCATTTTTTGATGGGCATGCCATCGTTCGGTATGAATTATACATAGCTAGCTAGCTACTTTTCGAGAAAGGAGAATCTTGGTGGGCTTTGGCTTATTTTTGTTTTTTTATTTTTCGTATTTTAGGCAGTTTGAGCTGTCCGTTATTTTCAAAATGGGAATAAATAATTAAACAAACAAATTTCCATAATCATACTAATTCATAAGTAGTTTCTCTCGAAGATGGTATCCACAGAAAAAAAAAAGAAATCCCATTTTAAGGGCATCCAATACTGTCCTTCCTTATCTGGTTTTGTAATATTTTTAAAAAGATTAAAGAACTATTGCTTATTTAGAGTAAATATTAGAATTTATTTCTAATAAAGGCTTGGGATTCACAACCTTTTGATCTTTAAAACAACTTCCTGCTGCTGTGAATCAAAAGTCATGGATGCCCCAACTGTTATTTTTTTTTGTTTTTCAAAGACTTAAACGTTGCCTTAAAGTTGAAGATTGGCTTGAAGTTCCATGATGAGCGCACAAAAAAAATGATTAAGACATATATATCTACTATCTTGACTTGCAACGTGAACCCCACCTGAAGTGATAGGTGTAGTACTAGTGGCACTCATGTGTCAAATATTTATATATATAATTTAAACAATTATTATTGCTTTCTTTTTTTTTCTTTTTTTCTTTTTTTGTAATAAAAAAAATGAGGATCATTGTGGAGTGTTTTGGAGGTTTCCTTGTCTTGGTGAGTGCCCCACACATGGCATAGATTTGGTTGTCAACCCAAATTTGAATGTCTAAGACCAGAAAGTAGAGACCTACTGTCTTGCTGTTTAATCTCTTCAAATTAAATAAAGAAATTAGGGACATGACTTGATGGTTCTAAGCGACACATTCAGTGACAGATCCTTCTCATAAACCCATGGTTCCAAGGCCCATTACATGGAATGCTTTAGAAAATTATTGGGAGTTGTAATAATTTCCAATTTCCCATTTTTCTTCAGTTTCAATCCAACTTTGCCCTGATGTCTTGACCAGTCCTTCATCTTCCATTTCCTTTCTCACCCTTACAGCATCATCCCATCTTCTAGCTCTTGCATATATATTTGACAACGTGACATAGTGTCCTGAGCATTCGGGTTCCAACCGGATTAGCTGTTCAGCAGCCAGCTTTCCAACATCAACATTTTGATAGGCTCGACAGGCTGCTAGTAAAGCTCCCCAAATAGTCTTATCAGGTTCAACAGGCATTTTATGAATAAAAGTCACAGCTTCTGCAAACTGACCAGCACGTCCTAGCATGTCAACAATACAAGAATAGTGTTCCATTCTAGGAGTTAATGCATAGTCTTCAGTCATGCTATGAAACAGTTTAAGCCCCTCATCCACAAGACCTGAGTGGCTACAAGCTGATAGCAGAGAAGTGAAAGTCATCGAATCAGGGCGAAAGCCTAATCCATTCATCTCTTTTAGAAGTTCAAGTGCAGCCTGGCAAAGGCCATGCATACCAAATCCTCCAATCATTGTGTTCCATGTAACTATATCTTTGACAGCCATGTTAGAGAATACAGAGTATGCAGATCTAATGCATCCACTTTTGCAGTACATATGAATCATTGCACTCCAAACTGGAACAACTGAATTGAGACTGCTGCTTCTCAAAATGTATGCATGGATTTGTTTCCCACACTTCAAACCACATACTGGCAAAATGGTTGATATTGTTGTCTGATCATTCTTAACACCCGATCTTTGCATTCCACTAAAACATTCAAGTGCCAATTGCACTAACTGTAGTTCAACAAAACCAAGAATCATAGCATTCCAAGTAACAACGTCCGATTTGTCCATCAGTTCAAATACAAATCTAGCATACTGAATTATACCACACTTAGCATACATTGTTAGCAAAGCAGGGCCGGCTGAACCATAAAATGCAGTTTTAGTTTCCATTTTTATCCCAAAACCATGAATCTCTTTCCCTTTCCGCAAAGCACAAAGATGGCGACATGAAACAAGGACACTAGAAAGAGAATGTAAATCAGGGGAGACAATTCCTCCGGCTACCATATCCTTGAATATTCGTATCGACATTTCATGCTTTCCAATCTTAGAATAACCTGAAATCAAAGTGGTCCAAGAAATGATATTAGGTTGCTCAATCTGTCTAAAAGTTTCCCAAGCTTCATTAAAGTGCCCCATTTGACAGTAGGCTTCCATTAAGGTATTACAAGTAACAATATCAGGCTCAAAACCATCTAATCTCAAGCAACCTAGAAGCTCCACGGCCAAATCTAGCAACCCATTATGCACATACCCTGAAATCATCAAATTCCATGATAACAAATCTCTCTCCCTCATTTCCTCAAAAACCAACCTCGCGCTCCTAACATTCCCACATTTTGTATACATATCAATCAAAGAATTAGAAACTTGCAAATTAAATTCAAAACCACAAACAATCACGTCTTTATGAATCCAAATCCCTCCATCCAACCACAACAACTGCGCACATGCTCTTAGAACTTTCGGAAACACATAGTTATCAGGCAAAACACCCTTAAATTTCATCAACCCATAATTCTGTACGCATTTCTCATACATCCCATGCCTCAAATAGAATCCAAAAATGGCAGTCCAAGTAAAAACATTTGGTTGTGGCAATTTATCGAACAGTTTATAGGCAGATATTACATCATCGCAATCCGCATACATTTGGATCAATTTTGTGACAATGAAAGAGGATTTATGTGATCCAGACACTGCGATTTGTTGGTGAACTTGTTGGCCATGTTTGAACGATTTTGAGTTGCTGCAGAGCTGAAGTAGATTGATAAGAGAAAAGGGCTTGGGACAGATATGCATATAAAGGAGATTGTTTCTTTGCCATAAGGTCATCTCATTTAGAAATTTAATGGAAAAATGTCCAAAACAATTCTTGATCGGAGATTTTCTTTAAGCAATCAAGTTAGAGTTTGGCGGGAGTCATAAATAGACGTTAACTGCACCTTTTTTAAATATAAAAAAACCTCATTCAAAAATTTTTTTTTGGTGTACCTCATTCAAATTTTAAGTTATGATTTTTATAATTTGGGTTAATTTATAAAAATTTCTAGCTTGATCATGGTACAAAAATAAGATAATCTAATTAAAAATACAACAATGCAGCAACACACAAAAAAAAATCTTTGATTTTGCGAATGTAACATTCCGTTTATCCGATGCATGTTTTAGAAAAGGAAAAAAACAAGAAATTCTTGAAGTTATATATTATATTCAAGAAGGATTTGCCTACTCCCATATTTAATAACAGTAATAAAGTCATATCTCTTTAATACTTGCAAGGCATTACCTTTTTTTTCTAAGCAATAAGAGGCCAAAACTTAAAAGACTCAAATCACACAATTAGGGCTATAAATAACCTTATACATATCATGAAAAAATTCATTCATTCACTCTCCCAAAATGCAAGGAAAATTATTAACTTAAAAAATAAAAAAAATCTTAGCAACTTTACGAGATAATTTGCACTGAATCTAGCTAATTTTTCTATAAACTTGAGAACTCCTATTTAAAAAACAAAAGAGATTTGCACATTTGTGGTAGATATACGTACAGATATACATACAGTTTAACAATAAATTCAAATTTGGATTCTCTCGTTTCAATTTGAAAAAAAAAAAAAAGACAAAAGTAGAAAGGGGCCATCAACCAATTAATTAAATGCTTATACGAAAGAACAGAAGGATCTTGTCTCTGTGTCTGTAGTCACCACTGAACAACAAAATTGCATGTATTTTACTTATACTCAACAAGCAAACTTCATAAGAATTAACAAGTATTTGACTAAAATGTATTTATTCCAACTGAAGTGGACAAATGTATATATATTCTCACAAGTTTCCTAATCACAAATTATCTTTAATTTTTTATATAATTACTTGCCCGAAATTCTATGGAAGGGAGAAGAAACTTGTAGGCCTTGTTAAGCCTCTGGTTGACTCCATAAATGAACATTAAAATATAAATTGAACGAGAAATAACTTGCACGAGATAAGTAAATATTTCATAATTTGTAGGAGATACCTAATCTGTTACCCACTAAATTTACTGTTACAGGCTAAATTTATTGTCAGGTTATCATTAAGCTTTAATGTGTTTCTGAAATTTCAGTCGCCTTTTATAATTAGTGACTGATTATTATGAAATCGCAACCGAATTACTGTCACTAAAGAGCAATTCCTGTAGTGAATTGAATTTAACCATTTGTATTAAAGTTTGGGAGTACTGATATATAATAGAAAACCCAAATGGTAAAATTAAGCTAAATATGAAATACATTGAATCCTTAATAAAAAAAATGATTATCATATTATTGGAGTAGTATTCCAAGCAAGCTCTCATTTCATCGATCTTGAGTAGATTGCTCCGTTCCAATTATTAAATAGTGACATCTTACAGATGGTTGCAATTAGATTAGTTAGAGGATCAAGCATAGCTAATTAATCTAATTATAAAATATTGGAACTTATTCCTCAAGTTAAACACAAAGTAATTGCATTTTAGGGTTTGATTTCTTTTCTTTTAATCGCTCGAAGATTCTACAAGAATGTGATTAATTTAAAAAATTAAAGAAGATAGATGTGAACCCTTCAATCGTTTGCTTGGTTCATTAAAAAGAAGCAACAGAATGTTATCATACATATAATTTATTGAGAAAGAAAGCAATTCTAAATATTTCCAATTACGTGAAGCCACATCTTATAGCCTTAGTAAGACAAATACATTATCCATTGAGCAAAACTTCCAGCCTCCTGAATTTGACCTGCTAAAATCAAATTCTTATATATTTGGAGAGACCAGAAAACTAAGCCAATCATTGTCACCTTCATTGTTCTAAAATGGAGATCAGTAGGACATGTTCCAAAATTCAACCACCAAAATGTGGTAATCTCATTACTGTCCTTAGCATTGATGGTGGTGGTGTAAGAGGAATCATCCCTGGTGTCATTCTTGCTTATCTTGAATCTAAACTCCAGGTAATTTTTAATAATTTTATGACTTGAAATTTGTTTGATATAACTATTATTTATATTGATTAGAAGGTATTTATTTATTTTTTAAAATGAATTTTACATTTTTCAATAGTAAAATCTTCAAATTAGTTAAACAAAACTGCTTTTTTTTTTTTTTTTTTTTTTTTTTTTTTTTTTTCTCGTTCCAATTATTAAATAGTGGACATCTTACAGATAGGTTGTGCAAATTAGATTAGTTAGAGGATTGGCAAGCATAGCTATATTAATCTAATTATAAAATATTGGAACTATTCCTCAAGTTAAACACAAAGTAATTGAATTGTTAGGTTGTTTGGTATGTTGTTTCTTTAATCGCTCGAAGATTTCCTACCACAAGATGTGATTATTATTTTAAAAATAATTAAAAGAAGACTAGACTGTGAACCTTCAATCGTTTGCTTTGGTTACATTAAAAGAAGAAGCACAGAATGTTATCATCACATATAATTTATTTGAGAAAGAAAGGCAATTCTAAATATTTCCATTACAGTGAAAGCTCACATCTTATAGGCACTTAGTAAGACAAATACATCTATCCATTGAGCAAAGAACTTCTTCAATGCTCCTGAATTGAACTGCTAAAATATCAATTCTTATTAAGTTTTGGAGTAGATCAGGAAAACTAGCATCATTGTCCACTTCATTGTTTGCAAAAAATGGAGATCATCAGGAATGTTTCCAAAAATTCAACACCAAAATGTGGTAATCTCATTACTGGTCCTTAGCAATTGATGGTGGTGTGTTAGAGAAAACATACCCTGGTGTCATTCTGCTTATCTTGAATCTAACACGCAGGTAATTTTAATAATTTTGTATGACTTTGAAATTTTGTTTGATATACCTTTTATTATTTATATGATTAGAAAGGTATTATACTATTTATTTTTTTAAAATGAATTTTACATTTTTCAATACGTAAAATCTTCAATTAGTTAACAAAACTGCTTTTTTTTTTTTTTTTTTTTTTTTTTTTTTTTTTTTTTTTAAAAAAAAACTTTTGCATCGAAATGCTGTTTTAGTTTAAACTTGACTTTCAGATTTGCAATGCAGAAGTCTCATACGCTATATTATGCTGAAACAAATTTTAGTACACTGAAATATATATGGTTTAATTTTATACGTGCATGCATGTGTATAGGAGCTTGAATGTGAGGAGGGCAAGGCTAGCTAGATTATTTTGACCTGATTGGCAGGGACAAGTACTTGGTGGTCTCATAGCTTGCCATGGTTGAGGGCTGAGGCACCATTTACAATTAAACAAATGAACAGGACCGTTACCCCCTATTTGCTGCACTCAAAGATTTAGTGCCTTTTTACCTTCACAAAGAATAAGCCCTCATTTAAAATTATTCCCCACACACAAAGTAATCAAAGATCATAACGTACATATAGTATATTATATAGGTTAATGCCATCTCTTCATGAAATTCCTTAAAATATCATTTATATATGTTTGTGTGTGATGTGTGTGCAGGGGGATGCTAGCTTTGGGCTGGTAAATCTATTTGGCGAGAGCTCTATCTGGGGGCAAATATTAATGCGGAAAGTATCTGCACACAAGCTAAATAAGAAGAATATGGTGGAAGGAGACACAAAGTTGCATTAAACCATTTGACAAGCTGTGGTTTAATCCCAATTACCTTCTATGACCATGCAAAGACCTCCAGCTACCATCTTCTCTTCATATCAGGTCATACTCGAATTATATATTTATACATGTATATTCGGCTTTTTTGAGATAACTTTTATATTATGACCAACGAATTTTGAATTAATTTGGAAGTTTAATTTGCAGATTAATAATACAAAATTTGCAGTATCATTGGAATCTAATTAACCAAACCACAAAAAAAAAAACTTGGTATAATGTATTTATACAATAATTTGCTGAGATAAAACTTTCTAGAGACCTTTTAATATGTTATTATTTTCTTTTTTTTCTCTTTTCAATCTTTGCAAAGAAAAAGGAAAGATACATTTAGTTTTGCTATTGATAAAGAAAAACAAGATTAAGTCGCGCACACACAAAAGAAAAATGTATAAAAATTTTAAACATTTCTTATTGACTGGTTTTCAAAGGATTAATTGGTTATTTTTTCTCCTAGAAATAATGGTGTTTACGATATCTATTCAGCGAATCCCATTTTTTGTTTTATGCAAGGTGAGAGACGCACCCAATTCTTGATGCTTTAACTTTCAGATGTATGCGCATAAGGTACATCTGCAGCACCAACTTTGCTTTCCAGCCTATTCCTTCAAGAAATCAGATTCAGATGGAATATTCAAGAATTTAACCTTTATTGACGGTGGGCTTGGTGCTCATAACCCCGTAAGAAAAGAAAATCCCAAAAATATGTTAATTAAAAAGGAAAATCAAAATCAGTACATCACATATTAAATTTCATGCAGAACTTTGGTTTGCCATTAGTGGATTATACTGAAACAGACAATAAAGAAGAACCCAGATTTTTCCTTATCAACGCGATGGACTAATGAACGTCTCCTTGTGATTTCCTCTGGAAGGATCCTCAGACTGACGGAGGGAAAGTACAACATAAAAGTGCTTCAAATGGGGGCGTTTATAGAATTTGGTTATATTACAAAGGGGTTAACTCCAGTTAATAGTTACTAGTGGTGAAAGCTAGTGGCATGTTTGGTTGATTATTACAATTCCTGTGTTTTCGAAGCCTTCAATCTGAAAGTAATTAATCTCAGGGTTGATGTAAGTTTCCCTATCACACTAAGCTCAATTTTCTGGATTTCAGTATTCTTCTCGTTTAATCAACTGTGAAAATTAAAAGTGTGACTGAGATTCAATTCGAAGTTACCTATTTGAATGTTTGGCTTACGAATATAGGAAATCACAAACTGCAAGGTGACCCTGTCTTCTGTGATCTGTCTACAAAGGAGAATTCAGAAGATCTTGTTAAAACGTTGGAGCAACTTGTTGAACGAGTCCAATTTCACGTTGAATTGATTACTGGACTTTTAGTGAACCAGTTGA